ATTGGAGGAGGATTCTCCTCAGAAACAGTGTGAACTTCTGGCGCTTTGTTAGATCGTATCACAGAAATGCGTAAATTATAAGCCTTGTAACAATGCCCGAATTCTGTAAATGGAAGAATGGTATGAAAAGGAACTTTCCGAAATGAAAATGGAATCTTTGTAGAGTAAGTCAATAGAGGAAGAATTCATCTTCAAACTGTGGTTAGAAAAAGTGGAAAAAAGCATTTTTGTTCCTTCGACTCGTGCCTTGAACCAATATCGTAAAAAGAAAAACCAATCACCTGTACAACCGCATCCTCGCATGTCTTACAGCAGTTTCGATAGCGTCTTTGTTGGAAAAGTCGTAATTATCTATTAAATCAATCTTATTCTCTATCAGTACAACTGGCAAAAAATCGCAGTCTTGTATGTCTCGAACAACTTCCATGGCATATTGAAAACTCTGAAATAGTTCATTTTCAAAAAAAGGAAAGGCAAAAAGAAAAGTGGGAGAAAAATTGCCTCAACGAGATCTAAGGAAAAAAATTTAGAAAATGAAATAGTCTGACGTAAAAAGGGGAAAAAGGAAAACGCGATAAAAAGATGAGAAGATAGCTACTAAAGAAACTCATCTCAAAAACGCGAAAGACAACTCGCCTTAAAATTATCCGATGCAAAAACGATGATAACTGCATCATATTCGGAAACATATTCTGGTTGCCACTGAAATACAGTTCGCTGATATGAAATTGTACTCATTTGGAGCTGAAAGTCCACCTTATCCTTTATTCGTACATCAATTCGAATATTTTCTCCATACAGTTTCAGTACAGTCGTTCCCTCAGAGCCGTGTCCTTCGAAAGAAAAGCTTGTAAGCAAAGTGGCCTTTCCCGTCTGGAAAAAATTACTTCCCATATCAGCCCTCATTTAATCTTGGACTTTTGGCATGATGCCAACTTACCCCACTTCCGCCACAGATGAGCAATCGGAAGTGCTTGTCGTAGTCGTTATCGTTCATTATGCTGAGAAATGAGTACGTGATAGTAGTTGAGCAGTTTATCGTATCTAACATTGAGAGAAATGTCGGTGGATATTAGCATACAGGAAAAAAGAAGTGTGAGAATCCTTAATAATGAGGCTGTAAAGCGCTTTCCAAGGAGGAAAAAGCGAAATCAATGATAGAAGGAAGTTCTTCTTATTGCAAGAAAACAGAATTGGTGTCTCAAAAGCTATGTAATTTTATGAAAAACCAGTTGCTTTTGTTGAAAACCGCGCCGAGCTTTTCCTGAAATGTGCGGTTGTTTTTTTCGGAATTGGTGAATTTTTTCTCGGCGAAGAGAACTACTGCGGTGATCTCGCTTTGAATGCTCAAAATAATTTCATGAAGCAACAAGAAAAGCTGTGAAATCTTAAATTCAAAAGGAAAAGAGATAAATCCTCATGACTGACTAAAGTATGTAAGAAGAAATCAGCAAGAATATAAAAGGCACCATCAACTTCAAAATTTCGAAGAGCATGACTTTTGAACAACAGTGAATAACGGATTATGCACTTTTAAAATACCATTCGGAAAAACAGTGTTAATGGGATCATCACATTGATTAAGAAAATTATAAATTATATAATGTTTATAATTATAATATTTAATTTGAGAACTCC